AATAAATATTGACATCCTGGGCATCAGTGAGCTAAAATGGACGGGAATGGGCGAATCCAGTTCGGATGACTATCACATCTACTACTGTGGGCAAGAAATCCGTAAAAGAAATGGAGTGGCCCTCATAGTCAACAAAAAGAGTATTGCAGCTGCATTGGATATTCAAAACATAGAATCGATTTTGATACACCAGCGCGCGACTTCTAACATCACAGTAACTGTTTCACCACCGGCGCCGAAGTTGTCCTGAAATTCACCAATTCTGAAGACAAATATCTATAGAGTGACACAAAGAAGCGATGTTCTTCCCTCATTATATGATTGAATGCTGTGCAATCAAGAGATAAAAAGTGAACAATTATGTTTATCGAGTAGTCAGTATTCTTTGTCAAGAACAAACTGACATCATGCTTCAACAACATTAAGATGATCTACTCTTACACATGGGATTATCACTGCAGGACCACCTGTTGATTACATCTCTGAGGTCAGCAAGAAGCCTATACAGCTCAAAGGCTTTAGCTATGCTGCTAAAAGGGATTATCCTTTTCTTCCAAGTGTGAAATTCTGGCCTTCCACATGTGTTTTAAATTGTATTCTTTCTTTTCTAAAATTTAAATGCAACAAAAGGCTTCTCCTAAAAGATGACAACAGCATTACAAGACACATTTACCAAGATAGCTTAAAACATACCAGCTGGCCTAATTCTTCAGTAAAGGCTGAGAATGTATCATATGTCCTTTGTAAACCATCAAGAATGCAATGCTAATGCAAAATGTTAAAAATGAGCTATTGCCACCATACAAAGCACAACTGCATGCAAATTGCTCTAATTTAAATACGTTTCAAAAGCTGCAAGGCCTGTTATTTTATTTTATTTAAATATCTATCTTAGCTTTTGAAACTTCTAATAATTGTGCCAGATGTCAGTCACATAATGTACCCCATGAACGTGGGCTACAGGAGCCTGCATAAATTTAGTTGTAGAATCAGAGCCACATCTTAAATTGAAATGCAAATATGATTGACACAGATACAAAGAGAGGTTTCAGGTATGTGAGAGGAGATCCAGAATTAATGTTTGCAATAAATGATGCTCAACTAAATTGCCCTCCCTAATAGAGGGAAAATATCCAAGTTGCAAATTGCCAAACATTATGTGCTAAAACTAGTCAAGAGGAGTTCTGTTGGGCCCAATTGTGCCCTGTTTTCCCATCTTAAACTAATGTGATGCAAATCTTATTGTATTTTGTACAATTTATATATTGCTTGATTGCAAAAAACCAACAACACCCAAACACCTCAAAGTGGTTTATAAAAAGAAGAAAGAAACAGCAAAATCATCACCAAAACAGCTAATCAAATAATAATAATTAAAATCAGCAATAAACTAAAAACACATCTACACATTCTCCAAATCTGGGTAGGCTTGCCCATGCAAAAATGTTTTTGGCAGGTGCCGAAAAGAGTACAGTGAACAGATTTATTTATTTCATATATACACACACACACACACACACACACACACACACACACGGAGTTGCAGGGAATGGGAGATCACCATATGCCTCCCAAATGCTCCATGGAACTTCTTCATGAATGGATGGGTGCTGTTTCCCATAGCACTAGACAGATACTTCTGGGAACCTGCTGCTAAGAATTCAATAGTTCTTGCTCTACTGATAGGCTTTGTGGGGGCATTGGGTTCAAAACTCAACCCCTATTCTGATTATTTCTTCTAGAAGTGCTCTTATACGTAAGTGTTTCTGAGAGGTCAGGAATGAGTATGTAAAACAAAAAAAGTGAAGTGAAGCGAGACCATGGCAACCATTTCTAAACAATAATGATTACGATGCAAGGCTGGCCAAAGGCATTTTGCTGCCTGGGGTGGAGATGACACCCCCTCATTCCATGTACCAAATCTGACTGGACTAGCAGCTGAATCTCTTTCAACACTGGTGCTAGGCCAGCACCTTCCACCACACATGCTAGTTTAGGGGATGCAGAGAAGGCCAAACAAGGCACACAACCCTAAGTTTAGATGACACACAAGCCAAACCTTGGTTTAGTGTGACATGACAGCAAAAAGGACCAGGGAGAAGCAAAGCTGCTATCAGCTCCATTCTAGTAACTCACATGAATACATGTTTTGCCAAGTCAAGGTTTGGCTTAGCGTAACATGTAAACTAAGCTAAAATAATGAATTTATCCGAACTGAAGAGTGTCTATGTTTTGTTGACAAAATAGATGCTTGCAGATTTTCTTTCTGCTAACCTGGAACCTGATAACTAAATAATAACAGCAAACAGTTTTGATATTCTCATACCTGAATGATGCCCAATTCTCTGCCTATAGGCTATATGGGTAAGGTAATTTCTTGTTAAAGATGCACAAATTTATGAAATTCTTAGGCTGTATTGGGGACCAAATAAGGGAAAAAACACTGCAGGCAGGCAGTAAAACAAAATAATAATAATAAGGAAGACTGATAATTAATGTTTCCACATATGATTTAGTAAAATAAAAGGCTTGATCTTCAAATGGAGCACACAATGAAATTGGCACAACTTCAGGAATTTCTGATGAGATATTTCTAATATTCAGTCTGACTAAAGACAGCAGAAGGTAATATCATCTGTGTTGGTACAGTGAATAACTTCACTGTAGTCAGGCTTGTGCTGGCAGACTGCTTTGGGAATTGCATCATTAATTTAAATCCTGCCTAACAAGATCTGCTAAATATCCCTAAATAAGTTTATCACTCATAGAACAATATAAAAGCCTCCTAATCCAAAGTTGCTATTCTTATTGAAATATTAAAATCAATAGACTGACTTAGGCAGGCTTTATCTTACGGTCCTATTATCTACATGTACAACAGAATAAGGCGGTAGAATGAATGGGCTGTCCAATATCAGCCTGCAGGCATGTGGTCACAGTTCTGAACACCCTGTTACATACACTCCAACATTTCTCCAGTGAAAATAGGGTCATCCCATAATGATAATTTTACTATTTATACCCCACACACCTTACTAAGCTTGCCCTACCATACCCTCCAAAATTTCTCCAATGAAAGTAGGGACATCCTAAGGAAAAGTGGGACATTCTGGGATCAAACCAGAAGCCCACACACCACAGACCCTCCAAATGTCCCTATTTTCCAGAGATGTCCCTGATTTAGAGAAGCCATCCCAGTTTTTGATTTGAACCTGGAATATTCCGCTTTTCCTTAGGATATTTCTGTTTTCATTGGAGAAGTGTTGGAGGGTTTGGAGTTATTCGACTCCTGAGCTGTCTGAAGGAAATCCTGTATAGGGAAGGTTTTTTTAAAAAATGTTTAATGTTTTATTATGTTGGAAGCTGCCCAGAGTGGCTGGGGCAACCCAGTAAGATATGCAGGGTATAAATAGGAAAATTATCATTATGGAATGGGATGTCCCTATTTTCATCAGAGGAATGTTGGAGAGTATGACACTTTCGCTTCAGGGTAATAGCTGGATGCCATGATCTGGGACCCAGCTGGATGTCAAGACCTAGGGCCAGATGTCAAGACTCATAGTGTCAATACAGCACAGCACACAACTTGGCTCACATTCTCTGTCATATTTCTGAGACCTGGGTGCCATAACTCAGAGGTATCATAACTCAGAGCCGTACCTCAGAGCTGTAACTCAGAGGTGACATAACACTGAAGTTTGCACATCATGTACACAGCTGACCTCAGCCTGCTGGGTCTGCATAAACACATTCCCACAGTCACAACCACAACTGCAAGGCCAGTTATGCCTAGCCTGGCCTGGCCTAAGCTTGAGATAAGGGAGCGTCAGGAAGTAAAGGTAAAGGACCCCTGGAAAGGAAAGTCCAGTCAAAGGTGACTATGGGGTGTGGTGCTCATCTTGCTTTCAGGCCAAGGGAGTCAGCATTCATCCACAGAGAGCTTCCCGGGTCATGTGGCCAGCATGACTTAACCACTCCTGGTGCAACAGAACACCATGACAGAGACCAGAGTGCATGGAAATGCCGTTTACCTTCCTGTCACAGCAGTACGTATTTATCTACTTGCACTGGTATGGTTTTGAACACCTAGGTTGGCAGAAGCTGGGACAGAGTAACAGAAGCTCACCCCATCATGTGGATTTGAACCACTGACCTTCCGATCAGCAACCCCAAGAGGCTCAGTGGTTTAGACCACAGCACCATCCACATCCCTCTTCAGGAAGTAACTGTCCTGTAGCCAAGTAGAAGACTACCTGACTTAAGCATGCTTTGTCCACATGCGTTCCTAGCCAATAGTGACACAGGAAATCATGCGTCTGTGTTTGCTACAATTGTATAAATGCTTTGTGCATTCTTTGTTCTAGACTTAGTCTTTTGGGAAGTATCCAACTGAGACTCTGTTCTGTGGCTCAGAATAAAATATTTTTACCTTTCAACCCACTGTCTCTTTATTGGCTTGGGAGGGACAACATTTTCAATTTGGTATCAGGGGGCACCCCAGTAAAAGGTTCCAGAGACAGGTGCTTCTGTGCAGATGCTCAGTTGGGGGCCAATGGGCCACAGCACTCCCCAAAATGGCATTCCTGAAGGGGTCGCCTCTATTTAATGTACGGCATAGAGTACATCAGAATCAACACAGAATCAACCCTGCAAAATAATTAAGCAGCCATTGGATAGGTTGATTCAGGATACATACCCAGTGCCAATGCCAAAATCTACTTACTTCTGTAATCCATAAGGTTGTGGCCTATTTGAACCCAAGATGTTTTTCCTGTGTGTTTATTGTATTTTCCCATGGTACGGGCCCTGCCAGCCCTGGGTCTCCTGCTCCCGGGGCCACAATAAAGCTTGCTCACTTAAATAGTTGTGTTGCAGTACTTAGCTGGACTTCATGCAACACTTATACTCTATTCAAATGATTCCCCTATAACCCCCTGCACCCACCTAAACATGCTCCAGAGGCTCCCCAACCTCGCAGGAAAGATTTAGGGAGCAAAGCTGCAGAGGGCCATAGCTCAGTGGTAGATCATCTACCTTGCATGCCAAAGGTCCCAGGTTCAATCCCTGACTTCTCCAGGTAGGGCTGAGAAAGACCCATGCCTGAAAGCCTGGAAAGCTGATGCCGGCTAGTGTGGACAGTACTGAGCTAGAAGGACCAGTGATCTGACTTAGGGCCCATTCTGTTGACAGGCACCTTCTCAGCAAATGGACAACATTAGATACCATTGTTGGTATAGCTGCTTACACACACACACACACACACACACACACACAGGTTTCAGTGAAGTTTTAATATGAATGCCAGTCATAAAAAACAAAAAAGTAACAAATAAATAAATCAATAAAAATAGGCCAAACTCTAGAGAGGTAACGTAGCTGACAGTTATCAGTTGGAATTAATGAACAGTAGGAAGTGAGATACAATCAAGCTGTGAAAAGTCTCTCCAGGGAAGTTCAAAAATATCCTGGATTGAAGATGTTCAAAGTTAACTTCAAAGCAAAATAAAGAAAAACAAAGAAAAATAAACAAACAAAAATCCATCATGACCAAAACCTAAATTGAATGTTTGTATTATATATATATATCTTTTACAATTCTCAGTGGCAGTATTTTAAGGATTCTAAGACTATAGTCAGAAAATCATGGTTTAACTGAGGTAGATATAATCAGTACTCATCGATTTGCATAATTGGCATGACAGATTTCAATTATATAATTATTGTAAATATATGCAATGATACAATTAGGAGTTGTAATTACAGTGCATAACTACATAATTAGGTGTTATGACATGGTAAACCCTTGTGAAGAAAGTGGGAGACCTCACTATATTTTGTAGGAAGAATGTTGTGCTATGATTAGGACATCACATTTTAATAGGAACTCTGCAACACCAATTTATGTTTATAGCTCACAAATGAATATTAAAAATTAGGGAAATGGTGCCAAAGTGCTTGGGAGATATGTGGTTGGCTCCCTAAACGGGGGTCTTTCAGTATTCTACAGTTTATTAAACAACCTGTCCAGCATAGAATTTGCACACCATAACATATCTTAAGAGTGAAGGGTAGTTAAATGTAGCCTGAAAATGGAAGTGATTCCCATGAAAGATTTTGCACTGCATTATAAAGCTTGGCTTGAATCCAGAACTTTGCTCCTGCCAACAGAAACAAAGGAGGCAAATTTGCCAACTCCCCTCCCCCTCTGAAGGGGGCTGGAGGAGTTTCCCAATTTTGGAAGGGTTAAGAGACCCCCCAAGAACTGTGGGGCAACTGCAAAGGAAAGGTTGAATTGCTTGAAATCATCTCCTCCTTTCCACAACTGGTTCAAAAGTCTTTCATGGATAGAAGAAGCCCTTCTATTTGTAAAAGTAAATGGGTAAATAGGTAAAATCTATCTTCACTATACAGGGCATCGAGTTAAGTATTAGCAATAAAGAAGAATAGTAACAATGCACATACACCTTCCCTGCTGTTTAGAAATGGGGAGGAACTTTCCCATATGATCTTTGGGCATTAAATTGAGATCTCATTGAATTGAGATCATGACTAAGGCTGTGTACCCATTACCAGTTTAAAATAGCTAGGTTGTTCTTTAACTCAATAGAAGGAAAATGCATCAAAACACAGTATTTCAGAAGAAATGACAGAATAGGTGTTGATTGCGTACAGTGCTTCCCCAACCAGTGGTTGGAGTTTGCTGGATGAAAATTAAATGGCAGTGTATATGCAGCCTGCATTGTGATGCAAGCTATGGCTTGACAATTGCCCATATAAGTGGTGGATAGAAGGTCTCATGAATTAGACATGAAGCCGAGACCTACAAAACTGAGCCAACCATTTGTGGAGTTATCTCTTTCCAATTATACTGAATGAAGAGCAAAGCCTCAGCATTTTCTTTCACCTGTAATGCTTACACCTTCATTATGGGTCTCATTTAGAGATGCTTCTCAAATACTATATCTCCCCCTATGTATTTTGGAGCTCCAGTCTTCTTTCTGAAGTGAAACCAAGGGAAACTTGCAATTTAATTTTGCAGTTCCATTTTCAATTCCCAAATTTTCTGTGCTGCAAATGCAGGAACAGCCTTCGTCACCCTGGCAGCCCCTGCAGCTTCCCCCAAAGGCTCAGTGAGCTGGGTGGAGAGGGAAGGGCTAGTCCCTGAAAATTAGGTGGAGGCAACATGCATGAGTGGCATTCCCACAGGTGGAGCTTGTCTCTATCTGACCTCCTTCCTCAGTCCCACATGCCATAGCCACTTCATTCATCAGGGTCCCTGGAACCATAGAGGAACACCTTTCACCAGCCCTATTAAACACGTATATTTCTGAATCAAACCCATTGCAAATAAATAAATAAACTACCACCAATACTGTTAAAACCACAAACAAACAAACCCATGCACCTTGATGTAATCGTACACATTTTATTCAGGGCTTTTCTGTTCTGTTTTGTTTTGTTTTTTTTGCATTCCTTCAGTGCACTCATTTATTATGTGATTTTTATCTTTTCATTGGTCACTCCACACCTATGGAGTTTTGTCCCCCAGGAAAATGTATAGAAGAGGAATTTAAAGAACTTTAATTAGCTACTTGGTTTTAAGGAAGTGTAACATAGTTTTAATTGCATGCTTATATTATTGTGTTATTATTATCATTCATAATTATTCCATTGTACTCCACATTGAGAGAACTTATGTGCCCTGAAAGACATTTTGGGAATCATTTAATAAACCAATATTTTGGCTTCTTTTCATCAGCAATGAACTCAAAGCGGGATAATGCAACGAAGGCACTAATACCCTGAAAGCAAACCTCACAGAAAGCTCTGTTTCTGGAATTGATTATAAAAAGTCTCTTCTTAAAATGGAATTCAGAAAGAGTGGAAATGGAAGACAGAGTAAACAGGAAGCAATAAAGAATGGCATGGAGAAAATCCCTTGATGCTAGCCTGGCTTAGTTGCATAATGGCAAGAGATTTGGGATGAGAGCAGCTTTGAACGAAGCATTACAGAAGATAGGCATCAAGCAAAGCTCTGACTGGAAGACACACCACAGCCATTTTTAAACCATCTTCATTTAAATACTTTACAACAGAAAGAGTGGAGTTTAAATTAATACATAGTAATTTGTACTTACTGTGTTGGCAGTTCCTTCCCATAAATTCGCCAGGACACTCACATGAATAGTTAGCTACCAGATCTGTACAAATGCCACCATTCTTGCAGGGTTCAGCTTCACATTCGTTCACATCTGTGGAGAATGCCCAGTGACAATATTAGACAGATATTCAATATAACATTTGCATTTTACACAATAAGAAAGTCAGACACTTTGTGAGATTGTGTATGGTAAGTACGGCTAGCAAATATATTTTCACTGAAGAATGCAATAAGGTGTGATGGGATGATGAGCTGCTTGTGCGTAAAATCGTATCCCCTCAGAGTTTGTTCAAGTCCACAAACCTCTGTCTGTGACGGAGCCCCTCAGACATGGCTACTCTAGTCACTAGCAGATTCCGACAGTGGTTGCTTTCGTAATCGCTTCCAACATAAAAGCTCCTTAACGGAAACACGTCTTCTGGAATCTCTGCGTGACAGTTTCCGGCGAGGAGTGGGTGTTCTTACAGGAGGTCCTGAAACTTCCCCACTGTTTTCGCTGGAAGTGTCTCTGAGCCATCCCTCCAGCTCAGCTCCTCTCCCCTGCTGGTTCCCTCTTCAGCTGCTGCGTCTCTCCCAACCTGTGTGAGCCCTTTCACCTCCCTGTTGGTTCCCTCTTCAGCTGCTGCGTCTCTCCCAACCTGTGTGAGCCCTTTCACCTCCCTTCCGTCCGATGGCAGTTCCCTGACATCCACCTCCCCTCCAGGGCCCCCTTCACCCCCTCTCGCCCCCTCCTCTACGGGCGGTGAGGAGGCAAAACCCCGGAATGAACTTCCTTCATCTTCCGATGTCTCGAACACTTCTCTCAACCTGTTGCGGTTCCTGGTCTCGAAGTACACCTCCTCCTCAGAGTCCATCTCCCCTTCCCCTTCCGAGTCCGGGAATCCTTCCAACTCCTCCCCTTCATCAGTGGTCCCAAAGTATTCCCTCCGGAACCTCTCCACAGGCTGAGGTTTCCTTGGGAACCTTTGATGGAACGTTTCTATCAATACCTCGTCATTGATATCTTCAGCCATTACCCAAGTGTTTTCTGACTCCGGTTCTCCTTCCCACGCTACCAAATACTCCACCTGATCCCCCTTCCACCTGGCGTCGAGGATTTCTGCCACATGGCTGCTGCATTCTCTTTCTTCTACGACCGGTCCCCGAGTGGCCAGCCCTTCTCGTCCCCCTTCGTACGGTGACAGTAACGACCTGTGAAATACTGGGTGCAGTTTCATGTGGTTGGGTAACCGGAGCCTGAAAGCCACTGGGTTGACCTGTTGAATGACCTCAAAGGGACCCAACCTCCTGGGTCTTAATTTCTTACAACCTCCTTTGAACGGCAACCCTTGGGTTGACAGCCACACCCTATCTCCCACCCTTATGGTTTCACCTTCCCTTCGGTTCTTGTCTGCCTGCCTCTTGTATTCTTCCTTCGCCCTTTCTAAGTTGAGTTGGAGCTGACGATGGATTGCTTCCATTTCTTCCACAAAATGCTCGGCTGCCGGGACGCTCCATCTCTCCCCCTCTCGCCCTGGGAAAGCCCTGGGATGACACCCATAATTAGCCAAGAAGGGGCTCATCCCTGTGGACACATTCTCGGCATTGTTGTAGGCAAATTCCGCCAGCGCCAACTTTTCTACCCAGTCATTCTCTCTGTCATTGACATAACACCTCAGGTATTGCTGGAGGACACCGTTTGCTCTTTCCGCCTGCCCGTTGGTTTCAGGGTGCCGGGCAGTCGAAAAATTGACCTCCACCTGCAGTAAGCTCATGAGCTTCCTCCAGAACCTGGAAGTAAATTGTTTTCCTCGGTCTGAGACCACCCTCAATGGCACCCCGTGCAACCTAAAAATGTTTTCTACAAATAACTTCGCTGTCTCTTCCGCCGTGACTGCATGCGAGCAAGCTACAAAGTGGCACATCTTTGTTAGTA